AAGAGAGACTGGCATGCATAGTATTAGCCCTCTGATTACAATGAAGAGCAAGAAGTGCCGTTCTGTTCTGGGCCAGCTGCAGCTTAACTAGGTCTTTCTTTGCAGCACTTGACCATAAGACTGGACAATAATCAAGGTAAGATAAAGCTAGAACCTGCAGGACTTGCTTTGTGGAGTGTGGTGTCAAAAAAGCATAGCATCTCTTTATTACGAACAGACCTCTCCCCATCTTTACAACCATTGAATCTACAGTGGGGAGAACAAGTATTTGATACACTGCCGATTTTGCAGGTTTTCCTACTTAAAAAGCATGTGGAGGTCTGTAATTTTTATCATAGGTAGACTTCAACTGTGAGAGACGGAATGTAAAACAAAAATCCAGAAAATCACATTGTATGATTTTTAAGTAATTAATTTGCATTTTATTGCATGACATAAGTATTTGATCACCTACCAACCAGTAAGAATTCCGGCTCTCACAGACCTGTTAGTTTTTCGTTAAGAAGCCCTCCTGTTCTCCACTCATTACCTGTATTAACTGTACCTCTTTGAACTCGTTACCTGTATAAAAGACACCTGTCCACACACTCAATCAAACAGACTCCAACCTCTCCACAATGGCCAAGACCAGAGAGATGTGTAAGAACATCAGGGATAAAATTGTAGACCTGCACAAGGCTAGGATGGGCTACAGGACAATAGGCAAGCAGCTTGGTGAGAAGGCAACAACTGTGGTGGAAACATAATTCTTTGGGGATGCTTTTCTGCAAAGGGGACAGGACGACTGCACCGTATTGAGGGGAGGATGGATGGGGCCATGTATCGCGAGATCTTGGCCAACAACCCCCTTCCCTCAGTAAGAGCATTGAAGATGGGTCGTGGCTAGGTCTTCCAGCATGACAACGACCCGAAACACACAGCCAGGGCAACTAAGGAGTGGCTCCGTAAGAAGCATCTCAAGGTCCTGGAGTGGCCTAGCCAGTCTCCAGACCTGAGCCCAATAGCAAATCTTTGGAGGGAGCTGAAAGTCGGTTTTGCCCAGCGACAGCCCCGAAACCTGAAGGATCTGGAGAAGGTCTGTATGGAGGAGTGGGCCAAAATCCCTGCTGCAGTGTGTGCAAACCTGGTCAAGACCTACAGGAAGCATATGATCTCTGTAATTGCAAACAAAGGTTTCTGTACCAAATATTAAGTTCTGCTTTTCTGATGTATCAAATACTTATGTCATGCAATAAAATGCAAATTAGTTACTTAAAAATCATACAATGTGATTTTATGGATTTTTGTTTTAGATTCCATCTCTCACAGTTGAAGTGTACCTATGATAAAAATTACAGACCTTTACATGCTTTGTAAGTAGGAAAACCTGCAAAATCGGCAGTGTATCAAATACTTGTTCTCCCCACTGTGTGTGTGTATATATATATATATATATATATATATATATATATATATATACACTGCTCAAAAAAATAAAGGGAACACTTAAACAACACATCCTAGATCTGAATGAATTAAATAATCTTATTAAATACTTTTTTCTTTACATAGTTGAATGTGCTGACAACAAAATCACACAAAAATGATCAATGGAAATCAAATTTATCAACGCATGGAGGTCTGGATTTGGAGTCACCCTCAAAATTAAAGTGGAAAACCACACTACAGGCTGATCCAACTTTGATGTAATGTCCTAAAAACAAGTCAAAATGAGGCTCAGTAGTGTGTGTGGCCTCCACGTGCCTGTATGACCTCCCTACAATGCCTGGGCATGCTCCTGATGAGGTGGCGGATGGTCTCCTGAGGGATCTCCTCCCAGACCTGAACTAAAGCATCCGCCAACTCCTGGACAGTCTGTGGTGCAACGTGGCGTTGGTGGATGGAGCGAGACATGATGTCCCAGATGTGCTCAATTGGATTCAGGTCTGGGGAACGGGCGGGCCAGTCCATAGCATCAATGCCTTCCTCTTGCAGGAACTGCTGACACACTCCAGCCACATGAGGTCTAACATTGTCTTGCATTAGGAGGAACCCAGGGCCAACCGCACCAGCATATGGTCTCACAAGGGGTCTGAGGATCTCATCTCGGTACCTAATGGCAGTCAGGCTACCTCTGGCGAGCACATGGAGGGCTGTGCGGCCCCCCAAAGAAATGCCACCCCACACCATGACTGACCCACTGCCAAACCGGTCATGCTGGAGGATGTTGCAGGCAGCAGAACGTTCTCCACGCCGTCTCCAGACTCTGTCACGTCTCTCACATGTGCTCAGTGTGAACCTGCTTTCATCTGTGAAGAGCACAGGGCGCCAGTGGCGAATTTGCCGATCTTGGTGTTCTCTGGCCTGTCTCCTGGTAGTGCCTCCATGCTCTGGACACTACGCTGACAGACACAGCAAACCTTCTTGCCGCAGCTCACATTGATGTGCCATCCTGGATGAGCTGCACTACCTGAGCCACTTGTGTGGGTTGTAGACTCCGTCTCATGCTACCACTAGAGTGAAAGCACCGCCAGCATTCAAAAGTGACCAAAACATCAGCCAGGAAGCATAGGAACTGAGAAGTGGTCTGTGGTCACCACCTGCAGAATCACTTCTTTATTGGGGGTGTTTTGCTAATTGCCTATAATTTCCACCTGTTGTCTATTCCATTTGCACAACAGCATGTGACATTTATTGTCAATCAGTGTTGCTTCCTAAGTGGACAGTTTGATTTCACAGAAGTGTGATTGACTTGGAGTTACATTGTGTTGTTTAAGTGTTCCCTTTATTTTTTTGAGCAGTGTATATATATAAGATGGAAAGAGGAATTCAATTTGTACATGGCTCTTACAATGAGAGAAAAACCTGCCCACACTTAAGAGAGCGCTTACTCAGAGAGACTGATCTCAGTTTAGAGAAATGCGTATAGATTGGAAGAGCTGCAGAACTGTCCAGACAGAGAGCTAAAGTCATAAATGTGCAGGTCCCTGTAGCAGTGCATGCAGTCACACAGAAAGATAGACCGAGAGGGAGAGGAGACCCTACAGAGGGACAGAGCATTATACAATGCAAATACTAGCCTTACTGCCTAGAATAGGCCTGTGCACATTCTTGTTGACTACGATGAACTCAACTCGGTAGGTTTCTTATTGCGTGGATTGATCACTTTAAGTGTGCACTTCCCCAGTGGCGTCAGAGTACTCTTGTTATACATCACCAATACCTGACTGCAGGGCTCTAGGTGACTGGCTTTTATGAGGTTTGCAGGGATAACGTTACAACTAGCACCACAATCTAGCTGAAATCTGACTGACTTTTTGTTGACCAGCATGGTTGCAAAGAGAGCTGCATTGGGGTCTGTGGTTTTCTCCTGCACCACGTTGATGCTCTCTGACTTTGGCCCTAGTGTGATGCAGAGAACATCCTCATCGCTCTCTGAGTCAGCTAACGCATTTTCCATTGCCAGGACTCTGTTTCTCTTGCTGGTCCCTGCACTTTTACAAACCGTAGAGAAGTGATTGTTTTTTCCACAGGTTTTTTTTACATTTTTGTCCATATGCAGGGCATTTTTCATTTTTTCTCTCATGTGTCCGTCCACAGTATCTGCATTGTATAATGCTCTGTCCCTCTGTAGGGTCTCCTCTCCCTCTCGGTCTATCTTTCTGTGACTGCATGCACTGCTACAGGGACCTGCACATTTATGACTTTAGCTCTCTGTCTGGACAGTTCTGCAGCTCTTCCAATCTGTATGCATTTCTCTTTACACACAAAACATTGTCTCCAGGATACCCGCAAAGTAACGGGAAAGTGGAATCGGCAGTGAAAACAGCCAAAAGACTAATGGCAAAAGCAAAGAGAGCAGGTGCTGACCCATACCTGGCCATGCTGGTTCACAGAAATACCCCGTCACAAGGAACAGACAGCAGCCCTGCAATGGTGCTCATGGGAAGACGTACAAAGACTACTTATAATGAGTGAAAATCTTCTGAGGCCGGGGATGGCAAATTGTCAGCTGGAGAAGTTCAAAGAAAGACAGCAGAAACAGGCGAAGTACTACGACACCTCTGCTAAGGATCTCACAGAGCTTTAACGAGATGACAGGGTGAGAGTTCAGCCACTCACAGGACAGAAACACTGGTGGCAGAGGGCCACAGTAGTCAGACCAGTGGGGCAAAGGTCCTATGAGGTGAAGAAAGAACAGGGACAAGTCTTCAGGAGGAAGAGGCGACACCTGAGGAAGAGCAGAGAAATAGAGGAGGATTTCCCCACTGTTGAGGAGCCTGGCACAGAGCCAGTAAACAGAGCACCAGATGACACCCAGCAGGGTGCAGAACACAACCTAGAGGTGGACGCTGCACCTCAACAACTAGATCCAAACATCTCAGGTCAAGCACCTCCTGATGTAATCAACACTCCCCAAGGTCTGGTAGGGCCATCCGAAGACCTATACACCTGAAAGACTTAGTGGGAAGGTAAAAATAATAATAATTAATGGACTGTCAGAGACAGTAAACAATCATTCAGTTCACATTCCAGTTTATTGTAGACATGGACTACAAGCCAAAGTTAGGTGGAGTCTGCCTTTGTTGTTAAAAAAATAAAATAATGTTTTATTCCAAATAGAATACTAAATGGGCTACAAACAAATCTTAAAGAATACCGCTACGCGCTGATGGTGGATATTTCTATCACATACCACCCATTGCACACTGACTTCAAAGCGTCCCTCACTAAAAAGTAGGGTAGCACATGAACTCGAACCTATGCGCCAATAAACCGCCTGGTTGGTCACGGAGAAATCACTGCATCCTCCTCCACAAGAGCAGACACAGACGAATGTAGTTTTACAGCTGGGGAAATGTTCATTCAGAAGGAAGCTTTTATTTTTATTTTGTCTTTCGTATTCGTTTTTCTGCCTCTCTTAACAAATATCCTAAAGGCTGGAAGATATCTATGGAAATCACATTGATTCATAGTTTCAAAACTAAGTCAAGTGTAATGGGTTTATTATAGGATTAACTATGGGAGTTTATATCCCGGAATCTAATACAAGCACCAACTTCACTCCCGGTGGCGACTTGGCGACAGTCCACGAAGCTGGAGCGGTTCTCCCGGGCTATATGATTGTGATCCTGGCTGTGCTTATGATAACTCTCGTAGTCGTGGTTGTGGCTGGCAACGCACTTGTTATCCTGGCTTTCATTGTTGACAAGAGCCTAAGAAATCAAAGCAACTACTTCTTCCTCAACCTTGCTATTTCAGATTTTCTTGTTGGTGAGTATCTATCTATCTATCTATCTATCTATCTATCTATCTATCTATCTATCTATCTATCTATCTATCTATCTATCTATCTATCTATCTATCTATCTATCTATCTATCTATCTATCTATCTATCTATCTATCTATCTATCTATCTATCTATCTATCTATCTATCTATCTATCTATCTATCTATCTATCTATCTGTCTGTCTGTCTGTCTGTCTGTCTATAAAAAATTTAAAATAAAATATGCCATTTAGCAGACGCTTTTATCCAAAGCGACTTACAGTCATGCCTGCATAATTTCTTTGGGGTGTATGGGTGGTCCCGGGGATCGAACCAACTACCTTGGCGTTACAATCTATCTATCTATCTACCCACAGTATCTATCTAGTAGGGCTCTGTGGTAGGATAATGCCAATGGTTTGTTCATTTACATAGCTACAGTATATAAGAAACTGTGAAGTGCCATCATAATGGATAATAATTGTGGAAACATGTTTTTTGGAAAATATCTTTGAAAGTTTATCTTAGCAAATGTTTTTTTAACTGATTTATACAGCTCTTAAAATAATTCATGATGGTTCCTGAATGCAAATTAAAACCCAACACACCTTTGGTAATTATTTATACACACAATTCTGCCACTTGCCAGCAGGCTTGTTTAGAAGTTACTCAGCTGTGAAAATTAATTCTGGCATTGATTATGGAGCTATGCAAGCATAGTTTGGGGGTCAGTCTGTACACAGTGTGTGTCCTTGCAGGTGCCTTCTGCATCCCTGTGTACATCCCCTACATCCTGACAGGCCGCTGGGTGCTGGGCAGAGGTCTCTGTAAGCTGTGGCTCCTCATGGACTACCTGCTGTGTACTGCCTCTGTCTTCAACATCGTCCTCATCAGCTACGACCGATTCCTCTCCGTCACCAGAGCAGTGAGTATAGAGAGCCACTGTGCCACACGCAGGCATGCATGGACAACGTGCACACATGCACCCACATACACCCAAGAATGCAAGCATGCACACACGTTTGCACGCACACACAAATGTGGTTTCAAATTTAGCTACTCTATGTTTTACTATTCATGTGTCCATCCAACTAAAGAGGTTCACTATGCCCGTTACCAATACAGAGATCCAGCAGAATGGGTTGACAGCCACTGGCAGTAGGGCTTTAGTGTCTTGATGGGATCCACAGTGTTGGGGTGGCAGTGACTTTGAATGAGCTCTGTTGGAAATCCAGACTGAGTGGGTTGGTCCTTGTGGACCAGCGTGCTACTCTCTGACCTTTAGTCTGCTTTTGAATGCTAGATAAAGTATCCCTGGATATTCTGGTCTGAATACTAAACTGGACAATGGTTCACCTACCTTGCATTCTTGCCTATGAGTTTGCAGCTAACATTGAACGTTATCTACATATAGGGCTCTATTCAATCCCTTTAAAGGAAAATCAGTGTTACAGTGTGATTTAAATTTAAAGGCAATGTTACCACGTTAGCGGAGTCTGCATTCACAGTAAACGCTGCAGATGTCGGCTCAATAGGAAATTACCTTTACATTTCTAGTGCGCTATCTGTAACACTTCAGTGATACAGATTGAATAGGGCCCATAGTTGTGTTGCCCTGTAAGGGGCACTATCTAATGAATACAGCCCAGTCTCTCACAATCATTCATCTGAAATGCTAGTTTTGGCAAATCAATATTATTCATGACAGAGTTATGAAATAAAAATATTGATGTTTCTTAAATAGGACCAAGACTCTTACCAAGACTCTTGGAATGATAAACATTTTGGACAGACTACGCAACAATAAATGGCGCCATGTTGTGATCTTAGAGGGGCTTTTGTCACTTTGTAACTGCTGCAGCTCATTTCCTTGTGGAATTTATACTGAACAAAAATATAAACGAAACATGCAACAAATTCAATGATTTTACTGAGTTACAGTTCATTTAAGGAAATCAGTCAATTAAAATAAAGTCATTAGGCCCTAATCTATAGATTTCACATGATTGGGAAGGGGCGCAGCCATGGGTGGGCCTGGGACGGCATATGCCCACCCACTGGGGAGCCAGGCCCAGCCAATCAGAATGAGTTTTTTTCCCCACAAAAGGGCTTTATTACAGATAGAAATACTCCTCAGTTTCATCAGCTATCCAGGTGGCTGGTCTCAGATGATCCCGCAGGTGAAGAAGCCAGAGGTAAATTAATTTGTGCACAAAATATGAGTGAAATAAGCTTTTTGTGCTTATGGAACATTTCTGGGATCTTTTATTTCTGCTCATGAAACATGGGACAAACACTTTACATGTTTACATGTTGCGTTTATATTTTTGATCAGTATAATATAAATTATTATCATTTCCGCACTCACCCACTTACCCAGACAGAAGATGCTGATTGATAAACCCATGGGTAGTCATTGCTAACAGTTCACCAAAGGACATGAAAACAACCAGTCTGAGGAGAAACTTTGATGAAGCATGCTCAGGGAGGCAAGTCGACAAATGATATCCTAATATAAATGCTGCTGTGTACTTTTACAAGTCAAACAAAACACATTTGAGATTTAATTCAAATGTTATCGATGCTCTTTGTAGTTATTCATTCTACTGAACTTGTTTGACTTCATTCTTGGAATGTGTCTCTTCAATCTATTTCCTGTTTCGGTCATTCGACTATCAGCACAGTGGCTTCCTGAGAGAGGAATGAAATGCAGATAGCATTAAAGCAATGGTTGTGCAATATGTTGCTGACATAGAAATTATGTTAGAAAACTTTGCAACCATTGCAAAGTAACCTTCTAACCTTAAAAAGTCACTACATGTATTAGAAAACATGCAGAACATCTCAGTGGCTGAAAGGTATCTGTAAGTTTTGCAAGTTGATAATGTCCACAGCCTTAGTTAAAGTGTCAGTTTATAATATTTTTTGTGTGTTTTTCAAATTCTAACATTCTACAAAGGTTAGAAGGTTACTTTGCAATGGTTGCAATGTTTTCTAGCAGAATACCTTTCTCGTTTTCTGATAAACAATTAATATATATTTTCCTCTCCATAATAAAACATTAGTAATTCTCTCCAACCACGTACACTGCTGCGTGTTTGGTAATGACTAATGAGTTATAATTATGATGAAAAAAATAACTATCTGTAGAGTGCATGTTTGATCTTGTTGGAGCTCACAGTGCTCACAGTCTCCATGATTGACAGCAAAGTTCACTTGTAGAATTTTTATAATACAGTATCTAGACACACCCATGACAGAAAACAAAGGGCTCTATTCAACCGCATCGCGAATGTTCAGTTTTCCAGCGTGATTGAAATTTAAAGGCAATGTTCCCGCTTTAGCGGAGACTGCATTCACAGTAAACACTGCATATGTCGGCTCAATCAGAAATTACCTTTACATTTCTATCATGGAATCTGTAACACTTCAGCGTTACAGATTCAATAGAGCCCAATAGAGCCCAATGTCAAGTTGTTCAGTTTGATGACACAGCCTAGCTCTCATTCTCTTCTGGCTTCACTGACACACCATGGAGAAAAGGGCCCTTGAACCCTATTACCAAAGGAAATAATACCTCTCCCTTAGGTCCAAATAATGCCTCAGGCATTGTGTGGATCCAATAAACATCAACAAATTGAGAGATATGCATGGCTATGCAGATTATTATGTCTGTATTATAATTATTTTATGATTGTGATATTATGATTTTATTGTGAGCTATTGTATGGTCTTTTTTTCACTTCACCGCTCTACTCACAGGTGAAATACAGAGCCCAGCAGAGCATGACCCACCATGCTGTGGTAAAGATGGTGACTGTGTGGGTGTTAGCCTTCCTTCTCTATGGCCCTGCCATCATCTTCTGGGAGCTGGTCGTGGGTAAAAGCGTTGTCCTTGCCGATGAGTGTTTCGCTGAGTTCTACTGCACCTGGTACTTCCTACTCAGTGCATCTACGATTGAGTTCTTCACCCCCTTTATCTCTGTGGCCTTCTTCAACCTGAGCATCTACCTGAACATCCAGCGGAGGAACAAGAGCAGGGCTATCCGTAAGGAGGACAAGGCACGCAACGACAGGGGCAATCTCAGGGACGGGGGTGCTGCCTTGACTGTGTTTTTGACTTGCAAGGTATCATCAAGCAAGCCAGCCGCTGTTTCAGCTGTGATAGAGATGGACGAGGAGCTGTCACCGTCCTCCAGTGGGGAGCCTAGTAGCGGACACACCATGCAGAATAAGAAGGGCCCCTCTTGCAGGATAACTTCCAGGACCCTTCAATCCCAATCCTCCACCGGGACCCCCACTAGGAGCTCAGAGGTCTCCCGCCTCTCCCATGACAAGAAGATTGCTAAATCGCTGGCCATTATAGTGTGCATTTTCGGGATCTGCTGGGCACCCTACACCCTACTGATGATAATACGAGCGGCCTGTAGTGGGCAATGTGTGGAGCACTACTGGTACGAGATAACTTTTTGGCTCTTGTGGCTGAACTCGGGTATAAACCCTTTCCTGTACCCTCTCTGCCACAGCAGCTTCCGAAGGGCTTTTGCTAAGATACTGTGCCCCAAGCGGCAGTCCGTCCAACCTCAGATTGACACCCAGTCTTGCTAGTGAGACAACATATGGCTGGAACATCTTTACTTAACTTTAGACATACAAGTTACTGCACCCGGTCTCAGGGATGGTTAACTCTGGAAATTCCTTTGGTCTCTACTGAGTTAGATAAATCAGCTTTTAGTTTTCTTGCACCTTATTTGTTGAACAATCTTCAAAATGTTCTTCAATTTGATATTTTGTAGCCTCTAGGGCAATTCAGAAAGCTGATTGAGGACCTTATTACTGATAAATGTGTTTGTTTTTTATGACTGTGTTTTTATTTCTTTCTGCTTGCATTTTGTATTTATATTGATGCGTGATTTTTCTGTAATTCAGGGCTCATCTGTAAAAGAGACCTTGGTCTCAGTAGGACTCCCTGATAAAGGTTAAATAAATAAAAAATCAGAGAATTGCCAGTGACCGCTAAGTTGACTTGTCAGTGTAAACTAGTGATGGGTTGTTCAAACATTCGATGAAGATGTTGAATCCTCACTGCAGGAACAATATGATAAAAGAAAACAGATTGAAGGTTATAAAAGCTAATGATACTTATATGGTATTATTAAAGACATTGATATAGGCCTACTGATTGGATTAATTAAAGTGTCGAAAATGGAGTAGTAAACTGTTGTTTTCTCTCCATGTTTAACACCTGCTTCATTCTTCAAGCATACCTGTATTAATTGTCGCCTAACTTTGTATAGAATTGGGGGTGCACAATCTTGCTCCCCCTGAAAATGTTTGCATTTTTAAAACCATTTTCCTCAATTCTATATTGTTTCTCAACAGGGAATCCATGTTAACTTGATAGAACACAAACATTTTCTTAGGTTTTTGCCAGGCCAAACTGTTAAAGGGAGAGTTCACCCAAATCACAAAATGACACATTGGTTTCCTTGCCCTTGGTGTCCACAGCCACAGAGCCAATAAAATACATAATTTGAAGAACAAACATAATTGTGGCAATTCATATCTTACAGTAAAACTGTAAATATGAATTTAATTTCAAGAGAAGACAGGTTTAATGTTAAAAAATAGAATTCTACTCAGAAAATAGTCCTGATCATATAAGCCTAGGCCTAGACGATATCCAAAACAACTAACAACACACTGAATTCATACATTTTCAGTAATTTTAATTGTAAAATAATGTCTTTCTACTCAATACCACAACTCATTTTACCAATCTTGGAGGTAAAGTTGTTAAAGTATTCAATAATGTATTTCAGATGGAATCAAGTCATTAGAATGTTCCAGAGGCCACCAAAATAGAGCTCATTCTGCTGTTTTCTTCCCTGGGGTGGCTGGCCTCTTCTTCTATTTATCTGGCTACTCCATGGACTTAGGGAAAACACTGCTATCTATGTGCCAAGTCTGAAACGTAGACGTTTTTAGCGTAAGAACCAAGCTTTTTTTATTTACATATCAAAGTGAATGTATGTAATTTACGTCTACTTGTTGTAGATATCTTTTTTTAGATGTTGCTACTCATAAGGATTTTGGTATGAATAGCAGAGGTGCAGATGATCCTAGGGCTGGCAGGAAATCTCAACTCTTACTAGTGCTTTATGTCTGCCAATTATAGAGCTGAATGGTACTGGTATACTTGTAAATGTGCTATGTAGGAAAAGATGTTCACTGTTATATTCAGTGAAATGTGAAAGAATAGTTCAGTGTAATACCGAATCAAGTGTTCCTTGGTGTGATTTCCATTTGTTTACCCATACATCTACAGCAATTTGTTTGGAACCTATAAGATGTGAGATTACGTATGCCAGAGGAGTCCATAGATAAAATGAAAGGTAATGAGTGATAATCAATCATTAACCATACAGTATACTAGAAGTAGGTTATCAACTACACAGCAGGGAGTGGAGAGAGTAATGAAATGTTTGTGAGGCTAAAGGTTTCACATTGTGGGACATATTTAAAGGTTGCTATGGTGAAGTTTCGTTTGAGTTGGAGGAGTGTACTTTTACATTACAGATATACTTCACTGATTTGATGCATCATCTGCAATATTATTGTCTGCACTGTAACGGAAAACTGTAATTTATACGGTAATTTGAGGTATTATCAACAGTAAAATACTGTGAAATGTTTTACTGCAGCATACTGTAATTTATGGTGCATTGTGCAAGTTTTGTGGGCAGGGAAATAATTGCTGTATTTCAAATGGTACTGTAATTCCATTCCACAGAATACAGTAACGTACCGTATTTTTGGAGCGCCAAAATCCTTTTGACCACTAATGGGTGCATGGTATTACTGTTTCTAGCTCATTATCATATTTTTAGGCGTGCCTTGTAAGAGTCTACATTTGTTGCACCCTTTGGTGAGAGTGCTGTACCAATTTAACTTGTATGTGGTAGTAGTGCCTCATCAATAAAAAATGTACAGGGGACAGATTGGAGTGGCATCAAATTCATTTATTAATTCATTAAGATTATAGTAGCATTTACTTAGTTACAGTATAATACAGTCAATATGGTATTTTACTGTGTGTCATTACACAATACTTGACAGTATTAAGATAACAGTAGTTGTACTGCAATATGAAATACAGTAACTTACCCACCACTAGCTGCCTGTAAGTTACTGTCAAATTCACAGCAACCCCTTTACAGTGTGTGACCGTGTCAGTTTATAATGCAATGTATGGGCATTGTGCATCTCCCATACTCAGATAACAGATCATATTGTAGCAGATTGTTTATGATAGGTCATAGGTCAATGTAATGTATTAGTATCTATACAAATATTTTACTGTGAGCATTTAACCATCCAACAAACTACCATAGACACAAGTATAGTGTTTACAGTCTGCTGCTTTATTCAATATGAACATTATTGAAAGATACAAAGATTACATAGTCCCGTGTAGCTCAGTTGGTAGAGCATAGCGGTTGCAACGCTGGGTTGTGGGTTCGATCCCCACGGGGGACTAGTATGAAAAAAAATAGTATGCACTCACTACTGTAAGTCGCTCTGGATAAGAGCGTCTGCTAAATGACTAAAATGTAAATTACTGCCAGAATGACTATAAAAACAGCCTGTCCTGCCAAAATGGAAAGAGACAGAGCTGAATTTGTTATTTCCAGAAAGTCAACAGAACTTTGGTGTAAAAGAGAAAACAAATGTTATGTAAGGCAATTACTTTTTTTCATGCACTAGTGAGATGATACTGTATCTCAGAGACATTTTGGAGCGAGAGGCCATGTCAGTTCTCAAGTTCTTTGACCGTGATTTAAAAAAAATGCATTAACAGAATGTCTAACATCCGTGGGGATTAGTGGAATATAGTTCCTGGCTGTAAGACCAAGCCTTTGGGAAATTCACAAGAATCACAACGGTATATTGCAACACCAGATCCCTGGAGGAACCTATAATAATAATAATATAATATGCCATTTAGCAGACGCTTTTATCCAAAGCGACTTACAGTCATGCGTGCATACATTTTTTTGTGTATGGGTGGTCCCGGGGATCGAACCCACTACCTTGGCGTTACAAGCACCGTGCTCTACCAGCTGAGCTACAGAGGACCACAGAAAACTTGTACTTATATTATTTAGTCAATGTATTTATTCATAGTGTATGACTGCCTCAACCTTTCTTTAAGTCTTTAACATTATTGTCAAAGTAGAAGGAAGAACCCACTAGATTAGAATAGATGAGTTTATAAATCATGTGCACAGGGTTGCAGATGTATTTGCAGGGTACAGTGAAATTCTTAAGATCCGACCTCCAACAGTGCAGGTCAAAAAGAGCCGTGAATGAAACAATAATAATAATAATAATAATAATAATAATAATACAGTGCCTTCAGACAGTATTCACACCCCTTGACTTTTTCCACATTTGTTGTGTTACAGTCTGAATTAAAAATGGATTAAATTGAGATGTTTTTGTCTCTTGCCTACACACAATACCCCATAATGCCAAAGTGGAATTATGTTTTTAGATTTTTTTACCAATACATTTAAAATTAAAAACTGAAAAGTCTTGAGTCAATAAGTATTCAAAACCTTTGTTATTGCAAGCCTAAATAGGTTCAAGTCACATAATCAGTTGCATGGACTCACTCGGTGTGCAGTAATAGTGTTTAGCATGATTTCTGAATGACTACCACATCTCTGTACCCCACACATACAATTATCTCTAAGGTCCCTCAGTCAAGCAGTGAATTTCAAACACATACTCAACCACAAAGACCAAGGATGTTTTCCAATGCCTCGCAAAGAAGGGCACCTATTGGTAAATGGTTAAAAAAACAAAAACAGACACTGAATATCCCTTTGAGCATGATGAAGTTATTAATTACACTTTGGATGGTGTATTATTACACCCAGTCACTACAAAAATACAGGCATCCTTCCTAACTGAGTTGCCGGAAAGGAAGGAAATCGCTCAGGGATTTCACCATGAGGCCAATGGAGACTTTAAAACAGTTACAGAGTTTAATGGCTGTGATCAGAGAAAACTGAGGATGGATCAACAACATTGTATTTACTCCACAATACTAACCTAATTGATAGAGTGAAAAGAAGGAAGCCTGTACAGAATACAAATATTCCAAAACATGCATCCTGTTCGCAACAAGGCACTAAAGTAATACTGCAAAAAAATGTGGCTAAGCAATTAACTTTATGTCCTGAATACAAAGTGTTATGTTTGGGGGGAATCCAATACAACACATTACTAAGTACCTCTCTCTCCATATTTTCAAGCATAGTGGGTATGCTTTTAATCGTTAAGGACTGGGGAATACAGGTGGAGCAGGTAGCTTCCTAGTGGTGGCTATTCAGCAGCCTGGTGTTCTGGGGGTAGAAGCTATTGGCCAGTCTGACAGCTTTTGCCATGATGCTCCTATACTGCCTGCATCTGAGTGTTGGAGAACAGGCTGTGGCTGAGGTCCTTGATAATATTCTTAGCCTTCCTGCAACACCTGGTGTTGTAGGTGTCCTGGAGGGCAGGCAGTGTGCACCCAATGGTTTGTTGGCTGAGCGTACCACCCTCTGTAGAGCCTTGCGGTCAGCGGCGGTGGAGTTACCGCGTCAGGCTGTGATGCAGCCTGCCAGTATGCTCTCGATAGTCATAAACAAAACAAGCAGCATTTTCCTAAACATCAACAACCAGAAATGGCCAGGCTTTTCACATACCCTCAAACCATGTTCTGTTCATTTGGAAATAATAATTTGAGTCACAAGAGACACAGGTGGACCTGTAAATGGAAAACAAATTGAGCAAAAGCATTATTGATATTTGTTTCTGTTCACATCAGGAAACCTGGAAATTCAATATTCTCAAGCACTCAAAATAGAGTGGTCTAGCAGCTACTAGAACTTGGTATTCTACAACCAACCTACTAGTGTTACCAACAAAATTCGTAGGTCCTTTTTACCACAAGTGTTGGACTGTAGGATTGTTTTCTTCTTCTTCATTTATGATAATGTCATAGGAAATACTGTATCTAAGTGATGACATTGATAATGCTGTGTGCTGTGTGCTCACACATCGTGTGTGTGTGTGTGTGTGTGCTCGTGTTGTGTTACCATGGCAATTATGCTTCCACATAATAATACATTCTGTGATCTGAGGAAGGACAGTAGTACTTTGCTGGCAGAGAACGTGTGTCTCACATGACCTGCAAACTATGTGGGGTGTACAGTAAAATCTGAGAGTGGGGATTTCTGATTAAGATACAGTGGGCATCTTCTTTAAATTTGTGTTTCTTGATGAATCAGGTAAGTAATATAGCAACACTAATTTGATCGTCATTATTAGTCATAGTAATGGTATAGGGGTAACAAATTAATAAAATAGTAGTCATAGTAATAAACATATCTGAGTTTGTCTAATTGCAGCATAAATAACTACAGTGGATATAAAAAGTCTACACACCCCTGTTAAATGCCAGGTTTTTGTGATGTAAAAGAATGAGACAAAGATAAATCATGTCAGAACTTTTTCCACTGTTAATGTGACCTATAATGTGAACAATTCAATTGAAAAACAAACTGAAATCTTTGAGGAAAAAAAAAAAAAAAAAAAAAACTCACAATAACCTGGTTGCATAAGTGTGCACACCCTTAAACTAATACTTTGTTGAAGCACCTTTTGATTTTATTACAGCACTCAGTCTTTTTGGGTAGGAGTCTATAAGCATGGCACATCTTGACGTGGCAATATTTGCCCACTCTTCTTTGCAAAAGTGCTCCAAATCTGTTAGATTGCGGGGACATCTCCTGTGCACAGCCCTCTTCAGATCACCCCAGAGATGTTCAATTGGATTCAGGTCTGGGCTCTGGCTGGGCCATTCCAAAACGTTAATCTTCTTCTGGTGAAGCCATGCTTTTGTGGATTTGGATGTGTGCTTTGGGTCGTTGTCGTGCTGAAAGGTGAACTTCCTCTTCATCTTCAGCTTTCTAACGGACGCCTGAAGGTTTTGTGCCAAAATTGCCTGGTATTTGGAACTGTTCATAATTCCCTCCACCCTGACTAAGGCCCCAGTTCCAGCTGAAGAAAATCAGCCCCAAAGCATGATGCTACCACCACCATGCTTCACTGTGGGTATGGTGTTCTTTGGGTGATGTGCAGTGTTGTTTTTGCGCCAAACATACCTTTTGGAATTATGGCCAAAAAGTTAAACCTTGGTTTCATCAGACCATAACAATTTTCCCACATGCTTTTGGGGGACTTGATGTTTGTTTTTGCAAACTTCAGCCGGGCTTGGATGTTTTTCTTTGTAAGAAAAGGCTTCTGTCTTGCCACCCTACCCCATAGACCATTCATATGAAGAATACGGGAGATTGTTGTCACATGTAGCACACAGCCAGTACTTGCCAGAAATTCCTGCAGTTCCTTTAATGTTGCTGTAGGCCTCTTAGAAGCCTCCCTGACCAGTTTTCTTCTCGTCTTTTCATACATTTTGGAGGGACGTCCAGTTCTTGGTAATGTCTCTGTTGTGCCATATTTTCTCCACTTGATGATGACTGTCTTCACTGTGTTCCATGGTATATGTAATGCTTTGGAAATTATTTTGTACCCTTCTCCTGACTGATATCTTTCAACAATGAGATCCCTCTGATGCCTTGGAAGCTCTCTGCGGACCATGGCTTTCGCTCTGAGATGGAACTAAGACAATGTCAGGATAATCCTACTAGAACAGTTGACCTTTATTTGTGATTAATCAGTCACTTTAAATGATGGCAGGTGTGTAATGACTTCTATTTAACATGAGTTTGAATGTGATTGGTTAATTCTGAACACAGGCACATCCCCAGTTATAAGAGGGTGTGCACACTTATGCAACCAGGTTATTGTAAGGTTTTTATTTTTCATTTTTCCCCCTCGAAGATTTCAGTTTGTTTTTCAATTGAATTGTTCACATTATAGGTCACATTAACAGTGGAAAAAGTTCTGACATGATTTATCTTTGTCTCATTCTTTTACATCACAAAAACCTGGCATTTAACAGGGGTGTGTAGACTTTTTATATCCACTGTATGTATTTCTGATATTTGTCTTTCAACAAAAGCGTGAATATGGGGGCCAAATGGACATTTGTCGTTCTTCTGATTGTCTACCTCAGCAAAGCGGCAGAAGCTCAGGGAGAAGGTAGTACAATATTTTAGCATTTTCAGTCGTTTTACCTTATGTAGTTCATTTGTAATGTTACAGTATCATCAAGTTTGTGACAAATAGCTTTTCTTTCAGTTTTCCCACAGGGATTGAAGGCTGATGTTGTTATCCTTATGGATGAATCTGGTAGCGTATCAGTTGAAGGCTTTATGATTATGAAGGCGTTTCTGGATACCCTGGTGCACTCTTTTTTTGTGGGCACTGACCATATCAGAATCAGTCTGATGAAGTTTGGTGACTCACCAGAAGTTGTGTTCAGGCTCAATGACCATATGAACAGACGTGAAATCCTGAAGGGTATTTACTCTGTTCAACAAATGGGAGGTGGCACACGTACTGGAAAAGCCCTGTGGTTTATGATGTCTCTGTTTCAGAAGGTTAAAGGCAGCAGGGCAACTGAAGGTGTTCCCCAAATTGGAATTGTCATCACAGATGGAGAAGCCAATGATGACATACAAAGATCAGCATATCTTCTAAGGAAACATGGCGTTTCTCTCATGTGCCTTGGTATTGTAGGCGCTTCAAAAAATGAGATGTTAATGATCACTGGCAATCCAGAGAATGTGTTATTTATTGAGTCATATCGAGACATGAAGAGCAGTGTCCCGTATGTCGCCCAGAGGCTCTGTGAACTGGCAGAGGAGAGGGTGTCCAGCAACCTGACAGGTACTTACACCAGCCTGGAGTGTGAATGAGTAGGAGTTATATCCAGGTTTCCTTCCCCTGAAATGTTTGTTGAATTAGTTTCCATTTCCATCCGTAGTGTATTCTAAATATATAATTTTTGCTATATTACAACATAATGCCATATGTTATGTTTTAAACAATTAGGTAGACTTGTAATTCATGTTTGTTCTGCCAGTCTGTTCCCAGGGAGCTGCCATCGACATCATGATTATTCTGGATGACAGATCCCAGAGCATCATGCCTCAGGAGTTTGAGCTTATCAAAGACTTCCTCCGATCACTGCTGCACTGCTTCTACCTGGGGCAGGACCAGGTTCGAGTGGGCCTGGTTCCTTATAGTCGACACAATGACACGACGGCGTTCAAGCTCAGCACTCCCCTAAACAACATGGAGATCCTAAAGCACATCTGGAATCTGAGACAGTCAAACAGTTTGACCACAGAGACTAACCCACATTGGGAGATGATGAGTGAGCTTCTCAGGGAGGAGAGGGAGGGTGTGAGAGAAGAATGGGTGACTAAAGTTGGGTTGGTCATCATGGGCAGTGAGCTCCATGAGAATTTGAGTGCGTCATTGGATGAGCTCAAGAATCATGGTGTGTCTCTATATGCTATCGGGGGTGCCAATGCTTCACTGATGGGTCTGAACAAGATCACTGGCCATCGCGAAAATGTGTTCTTCGTCCAGAACTTCTCAGGCCTGACGGAGATCTCTGAACGTATCAGCCAGGAGATCTGTAGCTCAGCAGAGGACAGGGGACAACAGGTCGTCCACATGCCACCACCAGGTAACCTGCCCTCTTATCTTGTTTTTGTCTACAGCACCCCAAGTCTTTATTACAATTATTTCCAATGAAGAGCTGAATGTCATCATCATGTCTTCCATATAACGTTAGTAAACCCATGTTGATTTTGATTCAATCACTCTTCTGGTTTTTAGTGATTTAGCCTAATCTCTGCCAACATACAGTATGTAGTTGTTCTTCTCACAGGTCCAAAGAACAGTACGGTGACAGACAGCCAGGTCACTCTCTACAGGGGCCAGTCTCTCTCTGCTCTCTGTCCCTATGACCAGAGGTACAAGGAGGATGTGAAATACTGGTGCAGGATGAAGGGAGAGTTAGACTGCGCTACCATAGTGCGTACTGACTTTCCTTTGCAACGTGGAGATGTGTCCATCACAGATGACCCCAGCCAGCATACCTCCACTGTGACCATGCAGAACCTGCAGACTCAGGACACAGGGGAGTATGTGTGTGCTGTTGACAATGGAAGAAACCCCCTCTACATGGCATCTCTGTCACTGACTGTCACTGCAGGTGAGCTCCTGAGTGGCGCAGTGGTCTAAGGCACTGCATCGCAGTGCTAACTGTGTCACTAGAGATCCTGGTTCGAATCCAGGCTCTGTCGCAGCCGGCCGCGACCGGGAGACTCATGGGCGACGCACAATTGGCCCAGCGTCGTCCAGGGTAGGGGAGGGAATGGCCGGCAGGGATGTAGCTCAGTTGATAGAGCATGGCGTTTGCAACGCCAGGGTTGTGGGTTCGATTCCCACGGGGGGCCAGTATAAAAAAAAATATATATGTATTCACTAACTGTAAGTCGCTCTGGATAAGAGCGTCTGCTAAATGACTAAAATGTAAATGTAAATGTAATACTTATCATAGTCCTGCTTTGTCATGGTTGGATTTTGGTTACGCTTTCAAAACAAAATGTCACTGCAGGGTAGGGGTAAATTCCATTTAAATTGCAGTCAATTCAGGAAGTACACTGACATTCAGATTCCAATGCTTTTCAATGAGGAAAATTGGAATTGGAATTTACAAGTAGCCGCCTGAACAGCAACAACATCCTCATTAACGGTTACAGAAATGTTTTACTTGCTATGACTGTGATATGTTGTTGTTTATCTACCTTAGTGGAATCCACTAACTGGAAATAGTAAGGGCTCTATTCAATACGTAAAGCTAAAGCTATACAGATTTGGTGATAGAAATGTAAAGGTCATTTCCGATTGAGCCGACATATGCAGTGTTTACTGGGAATGCAGTCTCCGCTAAAGCGGGAACAGTGCCTTTAAATTTCAATCACGTTGTAAAGCTGAACTTCCGCGATGCGAATTGAATAGAGCCCCTAAGACACTGGATAATAGTGTCTGCAAAATTATTAAAATGTAAATGTAAATTATATGTGAAAATGAACATACCAAAATTAACAGCAAAAATTAACTGCATTAATAGGTATTAATTATTGGCTTTGTTTCAGGGCATTAGAAAAATACTCAGCATGCTTTGCAATTGTTTATCTTTACATTACTACATTTATATGTAGTTCATTTAGCAGATGCTCTTATCACATCATAGTTCCAACAGACTTCTGATACCAATGTAGGGTGAAAGGGGGCCACTAAAGTATCTTGTTACAAAATACATTGGAGTGTAGTTCAGCCCAGTGTATTACAAATTACAAAATACTCTGAAGTAATTGAAATACATATTTCAAATACATGTAACAGAAATACTGCCCAGCTAAATATAAATTGAATTGACCCCAACCCTGCATCTCTGTGTGATGCGCAAGAATGAGCTTGCTTTGTGTGTATCGTTTCTGTGTTTCCATATTCCAGGCTTCCCAGATGTGTCAGTGAGGAGCAACATGGTGTCTGGTAAGGAGGGGCACAACACCACAGTCGAGTGTCTCTACAGTGACATCATGGATGACAGTGAGAAGATGTGGTGTAGGAACGGGACACCTGCTGGGAACTGGAGCTCCTGCCTGACTGCAGAGGGAGAACGGGCGTCTCAGGACCGCATGGATCTGATCATCGATACGTGGAGTCGCACCTTCACTGTGACGATGAGACATCTGGAGATGAACGATACAGACTGGTACTGGTGCATAGCAGGAGACCAGCAGATCCCGGTGTACATCTCAGTCCTCAAAGTATCTAACGCATGTAAGCTGATAGACCGTCACAGAGTCACTATCACTCACATTTAAGGCTTTGTCGCCCCCTTCAGATGACAAATAATACAGACGAAAAACCATTGTGCCTTGTACATCTTTCATTTTCAAGAGACATTTGTTGAAATAAGAGAATAACAATAATAATAATAATAATACTTGTTGTATTTCATTTACAAGTGCTCTACATGTGGTGCTTGCTACACAAATCAATGATTAAAATGTCCTTTCCCTCACAGCAATATCTCCTCCAACCTTGAACCTGATTACTTTCCCTTTGGTCTTGACGCTGAGAGCAACGGAGGATGATAACTCAAGGTAGAGGTGAAACCATTGCTTTTTTTTATTCATTAGTGTAGATATACTGTAACAGAGAGGCAAATTTGGAAAAATGTGTTGATGTTTTCTAGCTGGGACTGGGAGAGATATCTGGCTATTCTGCTGAAAGTTGCTGTTGGCCTGGTATTTGTGGCATGCACCATCCTAGCAGCTCTGGTGATGAGAGACTACAAAAGTAAGTGCTATGTATTTTCATCACTTAAATTGTTGAGTCCAAATACCTTGTCAAAATGACCATGTATGATTAGATTATACTTATTGACTTATTAAGTGAAATGTAACACTATTTATGTCAGAAAAAAACAGGAACGAACTCTAAGGGACACAGGAACAGGTAAATCAACGTCTCTGCATTTGTATTTATTCTTCATTTAATGTACAAAATTAATGGAACATGACAATGTGTGACATTTTAATCATTTTAATCCCCCTCACCTAGGGATGCAGTCTGCTTTATGATCCATACGATCATCTCAGTCTCCAGTATGTCAGGTTTTTGAAAGACACCTTACCAAAATGGTCTTCAAATGTTTATAGCTCTTTCAGTTCTGCTATAAAGATACAAACCTTACCTAAAGATGAATGCTATTGTATAATATGTGTAGAGTCACATTGCTTTTTCCTGTACTTTTAATTCAGTTATTGGTTTGTTTTGTAACGTTTTGTAACATGACATCTATTTACTGTATTTGTACTCTTATGATGACAATTCATTTGAATGGTTCTTCATGATTTTTCGGCCACAACAGAATAATCTACTGAAATTGTTTAATGTTTCTTGCGTTTTTTATCTGTTCTCTAACCAATTGTATGTTATTGCTACAATCCATTGACTGTACATGCGATTATTTTGGTTGATATTAAAGCAAACTTACAGCATTTCTTATGACGCCAATTTATTTTTAGGCTCTTTTAACTGATATTATTGATCTTGATTTATCACCAGCTCAGTCATCTCTCCTTCCACAAGTCTGATATCTGACAGGAGATAAGAGAGAGATAAGTTAAGGGATGGGGTAGCTTTATAACAGTGATGATATGGTCAGGTTAACAAATGAAACAGAGTATGTTCCCAAGAAAACACATTAAATGTATTTTATTAAATGTATTTATTTATTTTGGAGCCGAAAGAGAAATTATAAAGTTGAAGGAGGATGGCACTTACTATTCTTAGAAGATCTATAGATGTTCACTGTAGCCATAACAACAATAACCAACACCACCATGGCCAACACAATGAGAATAGGAGCATGCCAGGGCATGTTTCTAAAATAGAATAAAAACATCAAATCATGATCAAAGAATGTTAACAAAAAGAAAAGTTGTAATTTGAGGAAGCAGCACAAGTTACAGACCATAACTTGATTCACATGTAAATCAATGTACATACGGGGGGTGACATCTTGTGGCAAAGCATAGAAGTAATAAATGCAGCAAAAATAGTAAATGGAATATCTTGTGCATCTCTTGCACAAAGACAAATCAGGACTTTGAATAGAATACTTTGAGCATCAAACAAGACATACCTGATTTTCTTGTTAGTAGTTGTAGATTCAGTGGAAGGACAGCATGTAGGTTGTACTGTTGTTAGTGAAGAAGTCAGTGTGGAAGAATGGATTGTGATGTATGGAACTGAGACAGATGGATATGGAGTTGCAGAGCCATATGAGGATGTTGTCAGAGCAGAGTCTACTGTTGCGGAAGGGTTTGTCTTTGAGGCAGAGATAGCTGTGGAGTCTGCGAATGTGGAGAATGCTGAGTGTAACATGGGCAGAGTTGGAGTAGTCACTGCTTCTGCGGAAGGAAACATGGGTAGGAAGAAATGAAAGAAACAAAAATAAAATGTTTTTGCATCTGAAATAATACTGCAAATATCAACTTCAGTGTTGGTGTTTTTTGTGTAACAATGTTGTCATTGCTGGAAAAAAAACTTGAACAGAATACTCCATCACAAGCATAAGGTGGTGCAAACAAACTCTACCAGCATCAACTGACCTGCAGTGTTCCTGTGTGTTGTGGGTCTCTGGGTGACGTTGATATGAACTGCAGCCTGTAGGTCTCCAACAGAGCACCAATACCAGCCTGCATCTTTCTTCTCTAGTTCCCTCATTGTCACATTGAACACTCCCCTCTTGTCATCACTGATCACAGCAGATGCATTCTGGCTAGTATCTGTCTGTGTCTGACAGGAATGACGGTCCCCACTCCTGCACCACTTCTTCTCTTTTCCTCTGAGTGTGTCACTGTAGAGACACTGTACACTGACACTGCCCCCCTCCTCACCAGATACCAGCTCATCAACCACTGACAGATCAGGAGAGTCTGATGGAAAATATAAACATTTTTATTATTGCTGTAATATGCTACATTTTCCCAGACTTTTTAAAGAAATTATGCAATGCAAACAGTAGGGTAAGGTCAAAAATGTACATTCAAGTGGAGCTCACCTTGGGTGACTGTGAGGTCCAGGGATACTTTGACATCCGGCTTGCCTATTCCACCCACTTTCAGAGCACACCAGTACCTGTTGGTGTCAGTCTCCTGCAGGTTCCTCATGGTCACAGTGAAGACCAGCTCCTCTGGGATGTCTGTGATTGACATGCCTCCTCTGCTCCACCTTTGGTCGGTGCTTGCCATCACTGTACATAAGGGCCAGGATCTGCCCTTACACCAGTATTTGGCATGGTCTCTGAACATGTGGTGGTAGTGACAGGGGATCGTGATGGCTCCGCCACTCTTTGCAGTACTTTTTGTCACCGTCCACAGGCTGTTGCAACCTGTGTTGAATGAATAGATAGTAGACTGTTCAGTGCCATCCATTTCAAATAGATGTGTGAAAGCTGTATTATAATAAGCTAGATATTGGTTTATTGTGTCTATTGAAAAGCTAAAATATCCAATATTTGTGTATAGCTCTAAAAACGTGATTTATGAGTATAATTTATTTGTTCCTCAAAAGAAAAGGGGGGGGGGGGGTATAGTGTGAACAGTGAGGTATTAAGACACGACAGGCCACTAAAACATTGCACAACAATTTCCTCTTGCTTCACAGTATGCTAATACTGCTTCCTCTAATACAAGAGAACAGTATTGAATGTAGCACATATTTCTAAATCATAGATTATTTTTCAATATGGTTAGGCCTATATTTTGTTGTTTAGGGAATGCAATATTTAGAAATTACCAAGTCAATTCTTTAAGGGATATAGATGCAATTACCACACCCAAGACTTAAAAACACTTTAGAATCTGATTAACTATTAAAAGTTAGAGACCCCGAAGACATCCATCAACATATATTATAATACATATTAATTGTCACATTAAATGAGAGGCTTACCTGATGGCCCATGGACGAAGACAAGGATGAGAAGATAAAGAGAAACCATGTGTACTTATTTGTTCTAATTGTGTCAATACCAATGTAAGCCTACTCTCCCCTTAGTCAAATAGACCTGTACATCAAAGTAATATGTAAATGTGGCGCTGGTGCAATCCGCATCAGTGTGTCTGCTCACAGTGTCTCCTAGTAAGTCACTCTTAACATATCAGTGGGTCTGATACCATTTGCAAGGACATTGACTCTCACTTCCTAATCAATGCGTCAGACACACAATGAAACTTCCTATGAGTAATAGATCCATGCGTTATAGTAACCCATTATTGTACAACACTGTACTGGAGTGTCTGCATGTGTTCATAAGTGTTGCAACTTACAATTGCCACAGTTTGTTTGGTCAGAATGAGGTTAGAAGATGATCAAGTTAGTCAACGAACAACCACCAATGGAAGTCTGTATAAATCATGTCACAATTTTTGTTTTTTTCTCTTAGTTTATTGGGAACTGAATTAGATTATTTAACTTAATGATGATCCAATTCTTATCACTCTAATATAACTAATTATGTGTTATTGTATTTCATTCTAATTCATAATAAGTTGTTTATTCCAATCCTATGACACTTACTACTCACTATCATCATCATATCTGTACTTCTACAGATGGGGGTTCATTACAACTTTACTCTAATGTTGATGTTCTAAGTTCCGTTCCTGATTGAACCCTTTCCCACAGTTAGAGCAGACCAGTGTTTTGGTTCCACTGTGAATGAGGAGATGGGTTTTCAGGTGAGCCGCTCTGAAGAAACTCTTGTCACATTGGGAGCATTGACACGTCTTCTTCCATGTGTGGCTCTGTTGGTGGCGTTTAAAGTCCTCCTTAGACATTTTCTCTGCTTCTGTGCTGGAGGTGTCTCCCTGTTGCAACTTGTATTAAAGCAGATTGATTTTGATTGACTTTATCTGCGATTGCTCTTCGCTTTTATTCACCTTGAAATCCCCATTATAGATGACGACGAGGATGGGATGCTAAGGTTTTCACCCATGCTCAGTGAGCGATGCTTCAGAATTAGGTTTCTGGAGATGAGTCAAACGTGTTCTCCTTTTTTGTAGAGCCTTCTGTGCATGGTTTCTCTCACTGAGAAGTTGTCTTCCCTTGGTACAGTGCCTTCAGAAAGTATTCATACCCCTTGACTTATTCCACATTTTGTTGCGTTACAGCCTGCATTCAAAATGGATTTAAAAATATAATAATCTCACCCATCTACACAAATACCCCATAATGATAAAGTGAAAACATGTTTTTGGAAAATGTTAATCGTGTGAATAGTCATTTACATACGTATTTACAACCCTGAGTCAATACTTTGTAGAAGCACCTTTGGCAGCGATTACAGCTGTGATACTTTCTGGGAAAGAAAGACTAAGAGCTTTCCACACCTGGATTGTGCAACATTTGCCCATTATTATTTTCTTCAAGCTCTGTCAAATTGGTTGTTGATCATTGCTAGAAAACCATTTGCAGGTCTTGCCATAGATTTTCAAGTAGATTAAGTCAAAACTGTAACTCAGCCACTCAAGAACATTCACTTCCTTCTTGGTAAGCAACTCCAGTGTAGATCTGGCATTGTTTTGTATTGTCCTGCTGAAAGATGAATTCATCTCCCAGCGGAAGGCAGACTGAACCAGGTTGTCCTCCAGAATCTCACCTGTGCTTAGCTCCATTCCGTTTCTTTTTATCCTGAAAAACTCCCCAGTCCTTAACAATTACAAGCATACCCATAACATGATGCAGCCACCACTATGCTTGAAAATATGGAGAGTGGTACTCAGTAATGTGTTGTATTGGATTTGCCCCAAACATAACACTTTGTATTCAGGACAAAAAGGTAATTGCTTTGCCACATTTTTTGTATTATTACTTTAGTGCCTTGTTGCAAACAGGATGCATGTTTTGGAATATTTGTATTATGTACAGGCTTCCTTATTTTCACTTTGTCAATTAGGTAAGTATTGTGGAGTAACTACAATGTTGTTCATCATCCTCAGTTTTCTCCTATCACAGCCATTAAACTCTGTAACTGTTTTAAAGTCACCATTGGCCTCATGGTGAAATCCCTGAGCGATTTCCTTCTTCTCCGGCAACTGAGTTAGGAAGGACGCCTGTATTTTTGTAGTGACTGGGTGTGTTGATACATCATCCAAAGTGTAATTAATAACTTCACCATGCTCAAAGGGATATTCAATGTTGGCTTTTTTAATTTTGACCCATCTACCAATACGTGCCCTTCTTTGCAAGGCATTGGATAACTTCATGGTTGAATCTGTGTTTGAAATGCACTGCTCGAATGAGAGACCTTACAGATAATTGTATTTGTGGGGTAGAGATGAGGTAATCATTCAAAAATCATGTTAAGCACTATTATTGCACACAGAGTGAATCCCATGCAACTTATTATTCGACTTGTTAAGCACATTTTTACTCCTGAACTGATTTAGGCTTGCTATAACAAAGGGGTTGAATACTTATTGACTAAAGACATTTCAGCTTTTAATTTGTATTTAATTTGTAAAAATGTCTAAAAACAATTCCAATTTGACATTAAGGGGTATTGTGTGTAGGCCAGTGACAAAAAAATCTAAATGTAATCAATTTTAAATTCAGGCTGTAACACAACAAAATGTGGAAAAAGTCAAGGGGTGTGAATACTTTCTGAAGGCACTGTACACTACATGACCAAAAGTATGTGGACACATGCTCGTCAAACATCTCATTCCAAAATCATGGGCATTAATATGGAGATGGTCCCCCCTTTGCTGCTATAACAGCCTCCATTCTTCTGGGAAGGCTTTCCACTAGATGTTGGAACATTGCTGCGGGGACTTGCTTCCATTCAGCCACAAGAGCATTAGTGAGGCCGGGCATTGATGTTGGGCGATTAGGCCTGGCTCGTAGTCGGCGTTCCAATTAATCCCAAAGGTGTTCCATGGGGTTGAGGTCAGGGCTCTGTGCAGGCCAGTCAAGTTCTTTTACACCGATCTCGGCAAACCATTTCTGTATGGATCTCGCTTTGTGCATGGGGGCATTGTCATGCTGAAACAGGAAAGGGCCTTCCCCAAACTGTTGCCACAAAGCACAGAATAGTCTAGAATGTCATTGTATGCTGTAGCGTTAAGATTCCCCTTCACTGGAACTAAAGGGCCTAGCCCGAACCATGAAAAACAGCCCCAGACCATTATTCCTCCTCCACCAAACTTTACAGTTGGCACTATGCATTCGGGCAGGTAGCGTTCTCCTGGCATCTGCCAAACCCAGATTAGTCCGTCGGACTGCCAGATGATGATGTGTGATTCATCACTCCAGAGAACGCGTTTCCACTGCTCCAGAGTCCAATGGGGCGAGCTTTACACTACTCCAGCCGACGCTTGGCATTGCGCATGGTGATCTTAGGCTTGTGTGCGGCTGCTCGGCCATGGAAACCTGTGTCATGAAGCTCCCAACGAACAGTTCTTGTGCTGACGTTGCTTCCAGAGGCAGTTTGGAACTCGGTAGTGAGTGTTGCAACCGAGGACAGATTATTTTTTACACGTTGTGCGCTTCAGCACTCGGCGGTCCTGTTCTGTGAGCTTGTGTGGCGTACCACTTCGCGGATGAGTCGCTGTTGCTCCTAGCCGTTTTCACTTCACAATAACAGCACTTACAGTTGACCGGGGCAGCTCTAGCAGGGCAGAAATTTGAAGAACTGACTTGTTGAAAAGGTGGCATCCTATGACGGTGCCACGTTGAAAGTCACTGAGCTCTTCAGTAAGGCCATTCTGCTGCCAATGTTTGTCTATGGAGATTGTATGGCTGTGTGCTCGATTTTATACACCTGCCAGCAACGGGTGTGGCTGAAATAGCCAAATCCACTAATTTGAAGGGGTGTCCACATACACTATATATACAAAAGTATGTAGATTTCGGTAGAAAGAGCCTTGTTGTATCATCAAGTAATAATATTGGTCTTGTTGTACTCGACTTGGTAAAAAATGTATACCAGTATCAGACACCACTGGCCTTTCTGTACCGTGGCAGATAGAGTCTGAACAAAGTCAGAAGTTCTGTAGGTACAAGGTCAGCAGGGAAAACCTTGTTCCTCGAGAGAGGGACGAATCAGCTGTGTGTGGTTTGTGCGCTGGAGGCGCAAAACTACATCTTTAAAACTCGAGTGGCATCCGCCTTGGCGTTGTTGGCCTAGTGGAAAAGTAACCAATTGGTTTACTGACCACACAATTGTTAGAGCTCTCCGGGTCCAGTGATTAGCAACCCCCGGCTGGTCTCATTTGTGATACTGCTATACCAGAAAAATACAGTTTTACTGTGTGTATTTTGTGTAGCATGGTGGATAAATCTTGTTCAGATTAGTTTGAACAAGTCAGGCATAAAGAGCCTGTGTTCAGT